CAAACCCCAATTGAGGCATATTTTACAAAATACAAAGGAGACATGATGGCTGAATTCAGTGTATCCTCAAATAGAAAGAGGACATTAGTGGAAAAACTGGTGAAATCCAAATAAACCCTGTCACTTAGTTAATAGTATTGTATGTTAATATTAGGGGAAGCGGGGCAAAGGGTATATGGGAACTCGCTGCATATCTTTTCAACTCTTCTGCAAAACTAAAATTATTTCAAAATAAAAATTAAAACAAATATATAGAGAAAACATGTAAATGAATGGATTTTTAGAAAACTGCATGCAATAGAAGAGCTAAAGAGATGCAGATAGGGTTGTGGTGGCTATAACCAAGTGATAAAGTGACCCTACAGTCAGTCCTGAATGCTCTGAGGAAGGCGAGTAATTCAGAGCCCATTCCTTTTTTTCAGGATCATATTAGTAAAGTCTGAATTAGAACAGCTTTTCCAAAATGTTTCTTGGAACTCTACCATTCTCTAGAGATGTTTCTGGAAAAAGTGGCTCAACTAAGGTTGGAAAATCCTCCATACTTTAGCCTTTGCTTGGCAATTGATAGTTATATTAGCAAATTAAAGAATTTGAAAAAATCTTTCCTTATAGGCTGATTTAACTTACTGTTTCCCAAATACATTTTATCCCAGAACCCTTCTTTTGTACCTATTAATATCCTGATAAATTAGTTTGAATGGAAAATTGTAATCTAGAAATATCTGATAGTGTCTAGGGATCCCTAACATCTACTCTTTAGGGTCAACTTTAGAAATGAATTGAACGTACAACTTTGGAAAGTGGAAAAATGAGCTCAATGACTTTGCTCTTGATCTGCTTCTTTCAGGGGCCTTGAGAAGGTGAGGGGTTATCTCTTGTTTGTCCTGTGCACCATGGGATCCCAGTACCCTAGAAGTGAACTGTTGGGCAGGTTTTTTAAATGGAATATTAAATATTACATCATAATCTTATTTTGGTGTTCACTACAAGCTACTTGGCTGCCTCTAAAACAATCACAAGTTAAACATGGGATAGTAATCTTTGTTGTAGCTACATTGGGTTACATAGGGATCTTTCAGATGATCCTTTATTTTCTTTCATTAAATTTGAATATGTGGTAAGTACAGCCTATTTTTTGTTCCTAGTTTTTAAGGATAAAGATCAAGAAATCAATAGTGATATTGTCAGTTACTCATTACCAAGTCTTTCCGCCTTACAAAATGGAAACACTGATGCTTATACTTAATGTCAATAATGGTCAATTTTTAGCCGTTGCTGAAGCGTTGCCTCCAGATATATCAGGGACTAGCCAGCATGTGTGCATGTTCTTAGGTTTCGTATTTGTATCTTGTTCATTTTCGGTTTTAAAATCGTAGAGGCAGTGATTGTATCATTGCTGGACTTGCGTGGGTACTGTACGCAGGTAGTTTGTGCTCCATCTGTGAGCTCAAGGACTAAATGTGGCAATGACTACTTAATGACTCTTTCTTAATGAACAATTCATTTTGATTCTTTTTGGTTTGGATTTTTGTTTTCCAGAGTTATTGCAATGGAAGTCAAAGGGAAGAAAAAATTCACAGAAAAGAGTTCAAAGGTATCACAAGAAAAAAACAGATTTCATAAAAATAATGGTAAGATAGTCATGCCAAAACATGTTTCCCATGTGGTTGGTTGGCCATTGTACTTGGTGGGGTAGGAGGGTATATAGCATATTTTAATCTGTATTCATGAGCAGGATTAGGATTAAAATAGTAGGAAGAAATAGGTGTTATTGTGTATGAGTTAGCATGGTCCTCATGAAATTTAGACATTTAAGAAATTGCCAGAATAATTGAGGAATGCTTTACTCATGAAAGGCCCTTTATTTCAGCCATTGATGCTGTTGCCTCATTTATTTACACTAATTCACCATATGTTTTGTATCAATGCTTAATAAAATTGGGGCTGGTTAATACATACTGCTGATAAACCAAATACTTTTCACTTCAGCATTTATAATGGTGACGTCTTTATTATTCCATCAGGTGTCACTATTGCAAAATAAAAAAGTCAGGTACTATATAAATAACTAAATGTTTTCTTAAGCAATCTTTTTTTTCTTTCAGTAGTCTTAAGACATAGCTATTGCTGTTTGCATCTCATTGTTAGTTTGCAAGCTTTGTTGACTAAAGAAGGTTTTTATCAAATAATTTTTTTATAGTCTTCAAAAAATTTTTTCTCAAAATTAGAAATTTTGAAAATAAACCTTTTTAGTTTGTCTTTATGATATACTTTCTAAATTTCAAAAGTGTTCAATTTATTCTTAGACTCATGTTAGAGAACCATTGAAAATTATGTATAAGGACTAATGTTATGGACTCATTAAAGCAGAATAGAAAGGTATATAAGTAATATCTCATCTCTACTATATGCTTACAGCTAAAGAAATACACGAAACCAATAGCAGTGGTTATCTGTAGGTGGTACAATTGTGGAGAGATTTTATTATACATTTCTCTAGTTTCTAGGTTTTATATCATGAACCTTTATTAAACTTTTATAATCAGGGAAAGAGTTTTTAAATTTCGTTTTGGTTGTTTAAATCCTACTCTATTCAAAAGGATAAATGTTGCATATTTGAGAATAAGACAAAGTATGTCTCACTAGAAGTGTCTAATTTTCTGTAGTGAATGTAATCCGGTGGATAAAACAGATCTGGGTCCAAAATCACTGAAGCTATAATTATTTATTTTTGTCACTAGCTTCTGGTTCTTCAAAGTCATTCCCAAGAAAAGTTGCTAAGCAAGGTGGATCTAAAATTACATCTAAGAACTTTGAGAAAAGTGCCACAAAACCTGGGAAAAAGGGTGTGAAGCAGTTCAAGAGTAAGCAACAGGGAGACAAAGCACTGAAGAACAAATTCCAGCAGGCAAATAAATTCAACAAGAAGAGAAAATTCCAGCCAGGTGGTAAAAGTGATGGTAAGTTCTGATTTCTTGAGCATAGTCTCTGCAGACACCTTGCCCTGCCTGAGCTAGTGCCTGAACCATTGTGTACAGGGACTCTGGAAATGAATTAGAGACTTGCCATTCTTGTTCTTTGACCGGGAACATTTTGGGGGTGAGAGGAGGGAAAGGTATATTATTAATACATAGGCTTAAATAAATGACATAGTATCCTTTCCTGGTCAAAATTTCCCTCTAGTGTTTAGAGTTCCATATTTCTTT